GTGATAAAGTGGGGTGGCGGTGGAGGGGGTGGAGGAGGACAGGGATCGGGACAGGGATCGGGAGCCGGAGGACAGGCGAGGAGGAAACAGGCTTCCCAGCAGAAAGAACCCTCGGAACCCTCGACCCCGACTGCTTCGAGACAGGTAAGGAGAGAGGGTTTGAGATCTTTTTTCTATGTAAATTTTATTTTTTTTCTTTAATTTTGCAACGAAACGATTGAACTTGGAAGAGAATTATTTCAAAGAAAATATAATCGAATCGTTGTAACGTGTCCAAATAGGGAGGGGGATGAAAAATTTCTTTTCGAATTTCTTGTAAGTGGAAAAGAAGGTCATTTCAAGGTTTTTGTAATTTTATCACTTTTTTTTAATTTTATCGTTCTCCAAAATGGCGGAATTAATCTTGGTCGCCGCGTTACGTTTCGATCCGAGAGATTTATGCCAAACGTGTGGTCGTTCGCTCGTGTCTAATCAAATACTTCGGTTCAGGTGTAGGGAATGTAGGTTAAATTTAATCAGTCCCCTTCCCTTATTCGGCAAACTACCACACAAGCAACCAAAGACTTCGTGGCAATCGAAGAAACCCAATTCCGATCAATGGCCGCTGTACCGTCGACAATTCTGCCGCGGTACAAACCTTTTAGAAGGCGTATATCAACCTCTTTGATCCATCCAATGAGGAAAACATTGACCAACGGAGGAGGATCGAACAAAATTGATGCGTCGCGGAGAATCCCGAATCCTTACAAAACGAATGCACGAGGAGAATCGTAAATCTTGTTTCGACGATACGCAATCGAATGATAAATCGGGGACACGATACATTATCGTGCTCGATTGAAGCTTGTTGCTTATCTGATACAGAGAACACCGTGACTATCAGCTTTTTTTTCACTGATTTCGATGAGCTTGAAGTATATTTGAAGTATGAGATTTATATATTTTTGTTTATTACAATCCATCGATTCATCGAAAGATAACAGCTCACGATCATTTTTCTAATTTAAATTCTTCATCGATTCGGCCAGATAAAAATGAAATCAATCAATCTAAATCGATACAATCCTATAATATATAATATATAAAAGTGAAAAACACTTTTGCATATAATTCTAAAAATTAAGACCGATCATCATCAACGTATATACGTATATATATATTATATTTACAATTAAAAAATGATGTCGTTAACGTATTTCAAGCTCATTGAAAAACGAGGAAACAGCATCGACGTGTTCCTTTTTCTTCTTATTTTCCCAAAATTATTTTCGTTTCGCAAATTATAACATGGTTGCCCTACTAAGGGGGGCTAGGTATCGACGAGTAGTAGATATTTCAACGGGAAGTACACGCCTCGGACTGGATGCACACATGTAGATAGGCGCAGTTAGGGCGCATGCAGGATAGTTTCGCGACCGGTTGGAATTATGGAGGAAACGAGGGCCGTACCCTACACGGAACAACCGGCATAAACTTACACCTACGCTCTATCCTCCTGGTCGACACGCAAACTCGCTATCTTATTGCACGCCAAGGCGGATCTCGCGGGGTACCATAAATTTCCTGCGAGCCGGCCGACTCTGTTCGATATCCTGTGCGCTCATTGTGCTCGTTCCACACCTCGAATCGGACCTGAATTCCCGAATGAATCGTTGCGGTGGATAC